CCATCCCTCACTGTCCAGGTGAGTCCTGGGGTGCTCCTGTTCCATCCCTCACTGTGCAGGTGCCAGATGAGTCCCCCCAGGGTCCTGCTCTTCTGTCCCTCAATGTCCAGGTGAGTCCTGGGGTGCTGCTGGTCCATTCCTCACTGTCCAGGTGCTACCTTAGTCCCTGGGATCCACAGGGTCCACCCCTCACAGTCCAGGTGCCAGGTGAGTCCTAGGTGCTGCTTGTCCATCCCTCACTGTCCAGGTGAGTCCTGGTGAGTCCTGGGGTCCTTCTCATCCATCCCTCACAGTGCAGGTGCCAGGTGAATCCCTGGCATCTTATTTGTCCATCCCTCACCGTCCAGGTGAGTCCTGGGGTCCTGCTCTTCCATCCCTCACTGTGCAGGTGCCAGGTGAGTCCCTGCAATGCTCCAGGTGGACCAGGAGGCAGAATTTTGCTTGAAGACCCCTTTAGAGCTGGGAAGTTCCTGGAGCCCCTCTGCTGTGGTTCCAGGCTGGAGAAGGCCCCAGGGAGATCTCAGAGCTCCTTCCAGTGCCTCAAGGGGCTCCAGGAGAGCTGCAGAGGGAACTGGGACAGGGCCTGGAGTGCCAGGACAAGAGGGAATGGCTTCCCACTGCCAGAGGGCAGGGTCAGATGGGATATTGGGAAGGAATTCCTGGCTGTGAGGGTGGGCAGCCCTGGCACAGATGCCCAGAGCAGCTGTGGCTGCCCCTGGATCCCTGGCACTGCCCAAGGCCAGGTTGGATGGGGCTTGGAGCAACTGGGGATAGTGGAAGGTGTCCCTGGGTGAAGAAAAAAAAAATTATCTTCAAGGTCCCTCCCAACCCACTGCAGGATTCCAGGGTTTTTGACTGTTTGCCATGAGCCCCAAAGGTGCTGTGTGGCACCTTGGTGTCTTGACCAGTGAAACCCCTGAGTTTTCCCAGCACTTAATTAACATTAAACTGCCAATCCCTCCCATGTGCCCCCTCAGACATTGCTTTGTTACCCAGCTGGCCAAGCTGGGAAGGGGTCAGGAGGAGATGATCCCTCTGGGATTCACATCCTGCAGGAGAGCAGTGTGGTTAAATGTCATCAGCAAGGCACGAGGAGGTGAATAATCCTGACAGATGTCAGGTTCCCTCTGTGACTGCTTCAGCTTTGCCACATCAGGAATCAATGACATGAAAATAAAGAGGCTCTGAGCCCCCAGTGGGAATTTGGGCCAAATGCCTTCGTGTTGTGCTGTAGAATTATGGGGGTGCCAGAGCTCCCTGTGGGCTTTGCCCTGTGGGTTTCATGTTTGCTGTTAGGCTGCTCCTTGATTAGAAATACTAATTAGGCCCCTGGTGCTGAGGTGTGTTCCCCCTTCCCTCATTTGCTGTGGAGTGGGGACAGCAGAGGTGGCAGGTCCCTTTGGGTCTCTGCAGAGGGGGTAAATCATACACCTGATTCCCCTCTAATAACACCCCAAACCTTTCCCAAGCCCCCCCTGTTTAAAACACACCCTCCAAGACATAAAACTTCAGGAATTAGCACTAATTCCTGCCTGGATCTGTATTTTCAGCCTGTTTCCTGAGCTTTCTTGCTCTCCCTTTCCTCCTACCCCTCTGCCCAAAACAATAACTGAACAAAAACCTCCCCACCCAGCTCCAAATTCCTGCACAGCCCCGCGGTTGCCTTTGTTTCCCGTGGAATCCTGCCAGGGAACAGGGAGTGAAGGGCAGCAGTCGAGCTCTGTGGTTGTGGGGAGGTTTCATGGAACTGTAAATTTGAGGCATTTTGCTTTGATGCTGTTAAAAAGCTGCTTTTCCGGGACAGTGGAGAGACGTAACTTTGGCTCTGATCTCAAGGAGGTCAAGCTGGTTAGTTTGTAATATTGGATATTCTCCCAAGGTGGATATTTTGGTCAAGAATTAACCTTTTTTGCAGCTAATTTAGCTCTTCAGAATAATTCTAAATAGGAAAAGGCCTCAGATAAGCAGAGCTTCCCTCACTGCTCTCTCGCACCAGCCCTCTGAGGGAAGTGGTTTATCTTCTTTTTTCCTTGCTGAGGTTTGGTTTGTTTGGGGTTTTTCCATCAGTGGCAGCAAAAATCCCCATTTCCTTCACCTTTCTGTTGATCTGCCCTGGCTAATCTCCCATCTCCTGAGGGCTCTTTGCCCTTGGGTTTGCAGCGTGCTGGATCGCAGGTCGTGACAGGCTTTGGGTGCATGCAGAGGGTGAAAATTTGTTTCCCTCTCAGAATGGTGAGGAAGGACAGAGGAGCTGCACTTAACATTGCAACCAACCCCAAGTAAATTATTTTCTTGGGTGCAAAACTTTGCTTTTAATAATTTGCAACCTTCAGTATCAGAGAGGGCAACATCCACATGCCTGGCTTGGGGAAAGACCTCGCCCAGCAAGGCTGCGGGAGGGAATTTTTAGGTTTGTTGTCCCCAGATAACCCATGGTAATTAACATAGCTGGCATTTTCCCTTCAATTCCTGTTTTTCTTGGTTTTTTTTTCCTTTCCCAGCTTTTCTGCAGGAGCTGGTCGAGCGGGATAACTGCAAGTTTGAGGAGTGGTGCAACGAAATGGCCGAGATGCGCAAACAGAGCGTGGCCAGAGGCAAGATCAAGCACGAGGAGGTGAAGGAGCTCTACCAAAGGTTACCCGCCGAAGCTGGTCTGTAAGACATTGTGGAGTATTGCTGTAGTAGAGCTGTTAAGCTTAGCAATGATTTGTGACTGACTCCCAACTCCTGTGGCCTGGCTGGGAGGCGTTCCCGCAGCCCTCCGTGAGGGGAGAGCTTCATGCATGCTTACATTTGTTTTCCTTTGCTTCTTTTCCTGCCTTAACCTATTTTTCTCCTTTCTTTGCTCATTCTCATGGCCTCTGGCATCGCTAATTCCCCTCCTGCTCCTTCCCCATCCGTCAGCCTCATGCTTTGTGACTCTTTTCTTCTGCCTGGTGAGCAGCTCAGCTCGTTAGGATCATCGAGGCGGAATAACTGCCTGCTCCCAAATTGCCAGCTCACAGCAGGTTTGGGAGCTGGTGAGCCCGATTCATCAGCAGGTAACAGGCTGAGAGAATGCCTGACCTCCAGCAGAAAATTACTGGATCCATCCCTGCCAGTGCTTCCCTGCTCCATGTCTCAGTTTTGTAGGGAGACTGGGGTTAAGCTTTTTCTCCTTCCCCTTGTGTCTTGTTGCCTCAGCACACTGAGTTTTATTTCCCACTTTGTTTTTCTCATCCATCTACAAAACTTGCTCTATCCATCCAGCCCTGAGAATTTGTCATCACTATGTACCTCTCCTAAAAACTGCAGAATAATTACAATTGAAGACTTAAAAGTGGGTTTAATTGTGTGGCCTGTAAGAGAATTCACTGTTCAGCTTTTGTTATTGGATGCTCAGAGTCCACCATGAGATTGGAGTAGCCCAAGAGCAAACCCTGTTCCTGTAAGCATCTGCCTCTCCAGTTTGGGGATGCAGGTGTCAGGAAGGTGTCACAGCTCCCCGTGAGCCCGAGCAGCACTCAGATGTCACTGTGAGATCAGAGTTGTGCTGGAGGGATGAACCTGCCCTGAGTCACCCGTGAAAAGGAGCAGCAGCACAGTTCCAGTGTGCTTTTCCTCAGCAGGAACAAAAGAGTTTGCTCTCGGCAGTTCTGATGTGACAGAGGAATAAATCTCAAAAAAAAAAAAATGATTTTTACAAGTGCAGGTGAAGCTCTTCTGCCCCAATTTAGAGATGACAGGACCTGAAACTTTGCCCTGAGGCAGCCTCTGCCTGCTGCTGGCACGTCATGGGCACAGCACTTCCAGCACAGCTGGAGGCAGCGTCATTCCAGCCCTGCTCCGGGTCCTATCTCTGTGGAGCTTGGGGCTGTCTCTGCAGCTGTGCAGACACGTTTTTCTGCCAGCTTTGTGGAGCCTGCCCCAGAAAACCCTCCTTTCTGGGGGAGGCAGTTTCATCCCAAACTAGCAAACCGGTTCTGACAGCGACGCAATTCTCTGGAGGTCACGGCTGCGGCGGGCATTGCGTAAGATGAAAACACCGTGGATTGAGGCTGTGGAGGAAAAGAGGCTTCACAGAGCTCCAGTGCAAGCTGCAGACACTGTGTTTTCCTGTCTCCTGTATTTTCCTCTTGCTTCTCTGTTGCTCCCTCCTAGGAAATGTAAAGGATTTTTGCTCAGTTACAAATGTCACCGACGGGTGCATTTCCCCACAGGTTTCAGGGCTGCCCTCGTGGCAGCACAGAATGGGTTTGAATTCTTCCTAATTTCTTCCTAAATTCCCAGTCATCCACCAAAGACTTGTGTAGTGATATTGTGCCTCAGTATTGAGATACAGGGGTTTCACCCCAACCTGCTCATACGAGCACTGACCTGCTCCTGAACCTCGGCTTTGTTTCTTTTTCATCAAACAAGGGCAAACCTGCTGCCCTGCTTCAGCAAAAAACCTAAGCAAGTTTCCATTGGCACTGTAAATTTTAGAATTTTCTCACCTAAAATTTTAAGAGACACTGAAAATTTGTATGCTGAAAAGACAGGGGGGAACACAGATTTCATCTCTGCTGTTGTTGCCTTTAATTTTCAAATTACCCCAGTGAACTGTCTCTGTTGTAGAAAAAGCCTGGAATGTATGATCATGATTTAAATATTATATCAGTCCCTTGATGGCTGATAGGAAAACCTTCCCCTTTCCTCGACTGCTCTCCAGTAATCCCCAAAAGGTTTGAAAGCACTCCCATTCCTCCTTGGAGCTGTTGCATATTGATTGCTGAATCCAAAATGATCTGCACATCTTAATCTCACGAAGCTCCTGTCTTCCAAGTCTGTGACATTGAGCTCAGAATGGGGTGGGAGTAGCTGGATCAGACCTTTGAAAACTTGTACCTCAGAGATTTAATCCACAGTGATTGCTTGTTAATTTTAAAGAGTAATTATAAAACACCACCTGGTGTTGGAGCTGACATGTGTGGTCTTGTTTCTCTTTGTGTTTTCTCCCCTCCCAGGTTCACCTTACGACTTCATCTCTCTGGAATGGCTGCAGAAGTGGCTGGATGAGTCCACTCCTCCCAAACCTATTGATAACACAGCCTGCCTGTGCTCCCATGGCAAACTCCATCCTGATAAGATCTCCCTGATGAAGAGGATATCAGAATACGTGGCCGATTTCTTCTACCGCCGATACGGAGGAGGGCCCCGGCTCAACGGTAACATCTCCTGCCTTGTGCTCTGGAGCCTTGTTCTGCTCCCAGCCCTGTTCTGAGCCATCCTTCATCATCTTAACTTTATTTCAGTGCATGGCTTTAGTGCTGCCTTATTTCCAGTGGATTTTTTTAATGCCACTTAATTCTGTTACCATTTCCCAAACGCATTTAGGGTGATGGCAGGGTCTGCTTTGGGCCTGGGCTGTTCCTGGAGGAATTGCTGTAGAGGAATGGGGCACTTGGCTTAAGAAACATAATACTTGGAAGGTTTGAAGGCGATTCTAGAAAATAAAACTTGCACATGCAACACTCCAAACTCTTGACAATTATTTTCTGAGCACCCACAGCTCCTGTGTGTGGGCTGAGTTTTACGAAATATTAGGCCAAAAATATCCCTTCCTGTCTGTCACCTCATCCAAGGAAGCACTTACCTGTTAGCCTGCTCCTGCATCTACCACCCATTCTGCATTTCAGGGTCAGCCCAGCCCCTCCAGGCTTTGGACATCCCCTCATCAAGCCCCAGGTTTCATTCCTTTTAGGAAGTTGCTCAGTAACTCCCACTGAGACCAAATTAGCTCAGCTCCTACTGGGAGCTTGTAGGGAAGAAACTGCTTGTGACGCAGGCAGCCTTTGTGGGGAAAAGCAGGGCAAGGTTTATTAGTCAAGTGGAAGGATTGCCTGAAGGGTTGTGGGTTGAGTATGGCTGGCAGGGAGGGAGGGATGGATAAAAGGATGGATGGACACACTGCTTCCCTTCTCCTCTTGCTCCAGGATGCAAATCTAAATCCACACCCAGCTAAAGGATTTCCACTCCCTTGGTCCTCCAGCCTTGCAGGAGGGTGGATTTTCTGGGCTGAGCTGTCAAAAGTGCCACAATGCATGTGTTTGTTTGTTTGTTTTCCTGGCATTTCCTGCCTCCTGTGGCTGGGTGCTGGGCTGCCCTGGCTCGCTGTGACTGCAGGAGCTGGGAGAGCAGATCTGTGAAGCAGTGGAACAGATCACAGCTCATTTGAAGTATTTTATGCTTCTTTAAGCTTCAAACGTGGCCTGATGGGGCTGTGACCCCCAGGATTTCCTCATTTACACATGAAATCCTCAGGCAGGATAGTTGGTACACACCTATCTCAAGGCCTTCAAACCAGCAGGAAACGACCTGTGCAATAAACCATGCAATTAATAATGTAAAAACCTGTTTTTCCTTTTCCCTCCCACCCAGTCAAAGCACTTTGCAAGGACTGTGTGGTGGAAAGGTGTCGAATCCTGAGGCTGAAGAACCAGCTGAACGAGGACTACAAAACAGTCACCAACCTGCTGAAGATGACAGTCAAAGGGTATGGAAGTCCCAAAGATGCTTTTCACAAGTGTTTAAACAGCTTTTTCCTAAAAAATCCCCCTGTTTGGGCTCTGAGGAAGGGAGCTGTGGTTTTGGGGTGCCACACATTTGGTTGTCTCCTTGCAGGACCGATGGGTTTTGGGTTGGAAAAGCCTCCTTGAGGAGCTGGCGTCAGCTGGCTCTGGAGCAATTAAATGAGCAAGATGAAGATGCAGAGCACAGTAATGGGAAAATGAATGGAAATGCACAAAACAAAGGTATTTACTCCTGATTTCCTCCTGATTGCTGCTGCTGTAGAGAACTACCAGCTCTGCCTTATCCCTGCTAACAAAAAACACGTCAGGTTTCTGTAGCTGTTTTGTTCCCCTTGTATGAGCAGGGAGGAAATGATAATAAATAAAAAAAGGCCTTCATTTAAGGAGCTTTTTCTTTGCTAATCTTGAAAACTGCGGGGTGATCTTCATGCTGGAGAGGGAGATGAGGTGATAAGTGGTTTTACAAAGCTGTGTGAAATTACCACCCCAGACACATGATCTTTTTATCCACTTTTCTCTGAATGAGAGAGCACAGGGAAGGAAGAAACGTGAAAATTACCTTGGGGAAGGGATGATGATGATGTTTATTGTGAAGGTTGAGGGATAAAACAGCACAGGTGATGCAGCAGCACTGGGAAAACACAGCCTGGGATCAAAAATCATGAAGTGCACTCCATTCTGTGCCCATATCATGAGAGTAGATGGAGGTTTTTATTTGCCTTCAGCTCTTTAAACGGTTGAAAATCTTATTTTGTTGAGCTCCTTTGAACTGGGTAAGAAGCTTGTTGGAATGGAAGTGGGAATGATGGCTCAGGGCATTGATCTTGGGCTGGAGGGCACCTCAGCCCCCCTGATAAGGAGCACTCATGGAGAAAAGGGCATTTCTGAGTTACCACCCGTCCTTCCTCGGGGTGACTTCGATTCTCAACAGGTTGCAACTCCCAGTAGTGCATTTGAATTACTCACAAAGCCAAGTTGCTCATTAGGCAGCTCGTTAGAGGCTCTTGCTGACACGTCATTGTCTCGATGATGCTCCATTCAGTGGCCAACGCTTGACTTTAACTGATTTAGAGACTGATGCAGGGCTTGTCAGCCCCCTGGCAGGCTCCCCCTCAGTTTGTCAGGCAGCATCTGGTTTAGATCAGGAATTTTGCCAGGAATTCTGCTCCTTTTGCTCTTACCTAGGCTGGTGTTTAGGTTAAACTCGGAGATGTCTGGGAGCAGGGCACCCCTGCGGTGTTGCAGCCCTAACAAATGCATCCTTTGTAATCTCACAAAGGCCTGGCTTGTGCTCCGTGCACTTCAAAGCCCTCCTACGTGACCTGGGGGCTGTAATCCCGCCTGCCCACAGGCCAAGACATCGGAGAATAACAAATTTCCTTCCAAATTTTCCCTTGGGTGAGGGGGTTTGCTGTAATTTAAAAGGCGACCGTGCTCCTTTCCCTGTAAGAATTTTTTCCTTGGGAGACCAACTCTGTGCAATCCTCTTGTATTATTTTTTTTCTTTAATTAGATGAATCAAATGAAGAGAAGAGGGAGGAGGAAGAGGAGTTAAATTTTAATGAAGACATCGTTTGCCCACATGGTGAGTCTCTCCGGGGGGATGGAGCTGAATATCCCCGTTGTTGCCCACTGCTGCCCACATTAACCTTGTGGCCTTTGCTCCAGCTCTGGCAGCTTGAGGAGTCACTGCCCAAGTGTGCTTAATTCTCATTTTCTTGGCGTTTCTTGCCTCAGAAGTTTTCCTTGCAGGCAGACTCAGCAGAGCTGTCAGATGCTGAGTTCCCATCCTTGCATGGGCAGCACCAAAGCTCTGCTGCAGCCATTTGGAAGCTCTGAAAGCAGTCAGAGAGGCAGAGGTGATGTAAATCACTGCAGGTGGGAGCTGAGAGTATCTGTTTAACGTCCTGGTTTACATTAAATCGGGAGCACTCACCCAGCACCTGGGCCAGGACCACTCCTGGATATCGATTTCCCAACCTGCTGTGCTTTGCTGTTTGTTTACAGAAGGTTTTGACCTCCTATCAGTTGTTTTGAAAGTGATGCCTCATTAGCTGCATCCTTGGCTACCCTGTTGTTTTAATCTCACTTTATTCCCAGCCATAAAACCCAGTTTTACTTAAGCTCCTCTTTGTAGGCATCAGTTTGTGGGGGGGCTCCATCTTACCTCAAACTGAAGGAAAAATGGCATAAATTAGCCACACATCTCCTGTCATCAGAGGTAGTCAAGAACCTGGAGTAAGGCTTGAGAAATCTCATTTTCAAGCAGAGTGTTTGAGCACTTTGTCACGATTTGAGCTGTTACTCAGTGCCTTGAACGCTGCATTTCCCTTTGCCTCGGGGCTGCTGCTGTTCAATAAAAGCATGGAGCGTGGGGATGGAACATTTAGGGAGCCAGACACGATAAAAAAATAGGCCAACAGGCCTTTGGAAAATGTATGGTGTTAAATTGCTGGTTGATCTGTGACTTGGGGTCATAGCAGAATAAATAATACTAAATAAGGGGGCTGCTGGCAGGGCAGGATTTGTTGTCTTGAGTTAACCTCTGATTACTCATGGAAAACAAGCTTTCCACCTTGAAAAACTCCCTCTGCAGTGGATCAGCAAATCTCTACTCTTGTTCCTACGGCCTTAATTTTGTGGTGGAGGAGGTTCCTGCCTGCATGGAGGCTTTGGAAAAGGCTGTGCTGGATCTGGGAGGGCTGGCTGGCCTCCAGGAATGCCACCCGGGCGTTCCCTTCACAGCTCCCTCTGCATCCCTGCTGCACTGCCTCGCTCTCCAGTAGCTGCCTGATCCCAGGGAATTTTTTCCAGATACCAAGTTAAGCCTTCTTTGATGTCAGTGCCCAAAACATGTCCCTGTGGGACGGTGGGAGTGGGAAGCAGGGTCAGCAGTGGTTGGGTTCATCTTCCAGATGGCCAAACACTTGTGCCCTGCAGACCCACAGCTGATTTTTCCACCTCTTCCACTCACCATATTAATCTGTTTCCATTAATCATGTGGTGTCAAGGCACTTATTTGTACAAGCTCCTTTCTTTGCCCATCCTTGCTGGCTCTGGGCAGCATCCTGGGCCAGCCTCTGGAGCCATTTGGCCTCGTTGGATGAAGCTCAAGTGGCCAAGTGCTGCACTGAGGCCTGACCTTTGTTTATTAGAGGAAAAGCAGGAGGGGAGCATTATTGCTATTTTCTCCTCTTCGGGGCTGGCCAAATTCCAGGCACGGCTGGGCTGGAGGGAGTCGTGGGCCTGAGGAGCTGCTTGTCATGTTAAAGAGCTGCCTGAGGGTGGGGAGGAAGGAGTTCCTCTCCTGTCTCTGCAGCTCTCCAGGCTATAGAAAAGCAGATAATAAAGGATTGTGCCCTTTGGACAGCACAGTTGCTGTTTTCCTTCCCTCTTCACTGATATTCCCAAATGCTCTTTGCATCCCGGTGTCGCAACGGCTGCTCCCGTGTTCCTCCCTGCACAGAGACTTCCCAGCTGCTGTCTCCAAGGGAGATGAGCTTGTGTTTTTTTCCCCCTTGGCCATCAGCAGCCCTGTGAGTGGGCAGCTGGTCAGATCCCAGAGCCCTCTCCCGTTTTTCCAAGCCTTGTTTATCCGGCCAGCACGTGTCGTCCTTGTGCACGTGGTGTCCCGGTGCCTGAGTGTGCCTCCTGCTCCCACCCCTGGCTCCTGGAAATCCTTCTTGGGCTCTTGGAGCTGCCTGAGCATCAAGAAAGATAATCCTGATATCAGGATGGATAAATGAGTGTTCTGTGGGGGGTAGCTGGTAAGTCTTGCTTGGTATCTTCACATCCGTTTATTCCCCAGAGCAGATTTAGGGTGCAAAATCTTCCCTTTTTGGGAATGTGCTTGGATAGGGCACAGGGAACTGTGTTGAGGTTCTACAGTGGGAGTTTGGGGTTTTCAAGGATGTGGAAGGCACCTGGTTTCGTGGGACACAGGGTTATTATCCTGGGGCTCAGCAATGGTGTCACCATGAGGATGTAACTGTGGATAACCAGGATCAGAAAACAGAAACCCTCTGCCCTCTGGCTGTTCCCCACATCCCTCCTTGTGTTTGATCAGCTGCTTAGGCCATGGTCTTGGAAATCTAAAGAGCATTTTTGTAAATTAAAGTCATATTATTATTATTCTTATTTTTATTCTCTGTCTAAAGGAAGCAAGGAAGGAGTTGAAGGTGACTTTAGTGGTTTTTGCTGACGTGGTGTGGATTTCTTCCCCACATTTGTTCCTTGTAATCTCTTCAATCAAGGGCTGCAAAACATCCCTGAGCATGTTGTGATCAAAGCCTTTCCTTGATTCTCTCCCTGCAGGTGACCTGTGCATCTCTGAGAATGAACGGAGGGTGGTTTCCAAGGAAGCCTGGGAGAAACTCAAGCAATATTTTCCAAAAGCCCCTGAATTCCCAAACAACAAAGAGTGCTGTTCCCAGTGCAAGGTATTTGCCAAATACTCCCTTTTTGTTGACTGTAAATACTGCTTGTATTTCTGGTTTTCCTTTTTAACAAAACCCTGAGCCATGGAGGAGGATAAAGTCACCTTTAGTGGGAGCTGGGGTGTAATTCACTGTTTCCTGCAGATTTTGGAGCGTGAAGGGGAGGAAAATGAAGCTCTGCATAAGATGATGGCCAGTGAGCAGAAGACTTCTCTGCAGAACCTGTTCCATGATAAATGCAGGCCTTGCCTGGGCAGCTGGCCTCAGGTAGGAAGGAAGGGGATATGTGGATGCAGACAAGCTTGGGAGAGGTTTGTGTTGGCTTTAATCCCTCTCCTGCCCAGAGAAACTGTGGCTGCCCCATCCCTGGAAGTGCTCCGGGTTGGATGGGCTTGGAGCACCTGGGATGGTGGAAGGAGATCCCAAACCAGGAGATCCCAAACCAGGAGATCCCAAACCTGGAGATCCCAAACCTGGAGATCCCAAACCTGGAGATTCCAAACCTGGAGATTCCAAACCTGGAGATCCCAAACCTGGAGATCCCAAACCAGGAGATTCCAAACCAGGAGATTCCAAACCGGGAGATTCCAAACCGGGAGATTCCAAACCGGGAGATCCCAAACCGGGAGATCCCAAACCGGGAGATCCCAAACCAGGAGATCCCAAACCATTCCATAACCATTCACTCTGTGCATGCCAGCAGAGCTTTCAGGGGTGCTGTGCTGAGGTGTGACCTGCCTGGATCAGCTGTGCTGGCACAAAGCCCTGCAGAGCCCGGGGAAGGAGGAGCTGTGGCTGGCCCTCAGTCAGGGAGATATCAGTGACATGGTTGTGTCCCTCCCTGGAAGGAGGAAACAGCCCAGCCACTCCCCACAGCTCTCCATCAGCAGGAGGATGCTGGAACACACCTGAACTTCACCCCACCACCACCTTTTGCTGCTGCTTGGGCAAAATTCAGGTGTGCTCCAGCATCATCCTGTGTCCCAGAAGCTCAGGGAGCTTCCCAAAATGCTGAAGCCCTCCAAGAAGCAGCGATGGCTGTGCAAACCCTCTCCTAGCAGCTTCTCCAGGAATTTTTGGGGGTTTGAGGTGCTCAGAACGAGCTGTTGGCTCCAGTCCTTGGCTCCTGGGAGTGGTGCTGATCAATGGCTGACTCTGCAGCCCTGCCAAGGTGCATTGGCAGGTGTCTGCCTCCATCCCTCGCTGCTCCAGCTGGGAATAAAAACTGGGGCAGCACAGATCCATGGCTCAGAACCAAGGAGACCCAAAATGGTTTAAAAGGAGTTTTCCTTTCATGCTGAGCTGGAGAGCTCCAGGTCCTGCCAGTGTAGGTGGTTAAGGCTGTATGTGATTGGATTTGCTTTTGGAGCTGGAGAAAGTTGGAGCTCATCACCGTGGGTCAGACATAGAAGGGTCTCCACAAGCAGGGTTAGATCCTTCTTTCCCTTTTTATTCTCCTTTCCCTTTTTATCCTTCTTTCCCTTTTTATTCTCCTTTCCCTTTTTATCCTCCTTTCCCTTTTTATCCTCCTTTCCCTTTTTATTCTCTTTTCCCTATTAATTTCCCAAGGCAGCCTCATAGAAAAGAGCTGAGGATTTTCCCCTCAAGCCTTTGGAGTTCTCCTGATTCAAAGAAGTTGAGGTTTAGGGGGGAAAACCAGCAGAAATCAAGAGATGAAGGGCAATTAAAAAGTGTACATATATGTTTGTGTGTATAAATATTCCTTGGCATGCTGAGTTTTCCTACAGAAAGATGGAGCAAGCCCTTAAATCTATCTTTGGGAAAGGGGTGAGGATAAATTAGAGCATGGAAATAATTTTGTCACCCAGCTCTTGGGGGCTGGATGGTTTCTTGTCCAGGAGCAAACAATTTAAAGGAAGATTGGGACAAAACCCCACAGATTACCCCTAAAACACTGTCTCATTTGGTGCACAGCTGTGGTTTGGTATCCCTGCTGGTTCCAAAAGGAAAAACTTGTGGATTTTGATGTTGGAAACAATTGAGGGATGTTGGGGTGGTCTCACCCTGTGGGAGTGAGGGGTTCACCAGCTCTGAACTGAGCCCCCAGCAAGGGGAACCACACTGGGGAGTCCTGGCTGCTCCAGGGAAATGCCCTTTCCCACTGGGAATTACAAGCAATTGGATCAGAAGCTCAAGTAACTTCATAATAAACACAAGATTAGCAATGGCAGTGCTTAGTACCTGATCCCAAATTATTTTGCTTGGCTTTCTCAGCCCACTTGGATGGAGTTGTCATGGTAAAGCAGCACCGAGGTCTCGAAGGGAGCGAGCGCTGCCGAAAAACCCCACAGTCATTTTTGGGTTCATTAAAAAGATCCTTTTCCCTCCTCTTTTCCCCCAGGAGACGGATGAGCTGTATATTGTTTCGCAGTTCTTTGTAGAAGAATGGAGGAAATTTGTCAGGTAACTTGGCTGGAGGGTTTTGGTGCTTTTTTATCTCTCATTTTGGGGGCTGTAGATGTTTTGCTTCTGACTGGCAGCACAGTGAGCTCATGGAAAGAGTGAAGCTGGTTTTTGCAGGACTTGTATCGGTTGTAATGCAGTGTAAGACTCTGAATTTCCTTGTTTGCTGTGTGTTAACCAGATGGTCAGATAAGCTGGTAACCTGATTAGTTTTTTCATCTGTCTGGAGCTGTATCCCGGAGGTCACCGCTGGGGCTGGAGATGGAAATCTCTGCTGGTCAGAGTCATTCTGCACCACAGAGGAACGCAGATCTGATTTCCTCATCACTCATAGCTGCTATTCCTTGTTGGAATGCCTTGTGTAAATACTCACCTGTGTTTTCTTCCTGTTTTCCTGAGGAACTGTGGGGGTTTTGGTGGGATAACCTGATCCAGCTTTCCAAACCTCCTCCCTTTTGCAGGAGGCCGACGCGCTGCAGCCCCGTGTCCTCCATAGCCAACAGTGTCCTGCTCTGTCCCCACGGGGGGCTCATGTTCACCTTTGCTTCCATGACCAAAGAAGACTCCAAACAGTGAGTTCCTTCCCTTCACACACTCTCCTTCTGGACAGAAATGAGCTCTTTCCCTCAGTGCTGCTGAGAGAATGAACTTGGAGAGGATTCTCAGGATCCCCTGAAGCTGTGAAATTTGCTTTTACTGGTCTGAGGTGTCAGCACCAGCTCTAAAACTGGTTTTCCAAGTAGGTTGGAAAAGGTTAGGGTTAGGGTTTAGGGTTTCCCTTCACACACTCTCCTTTTGGACAGAAATGAACTCTTTCCCTCAGTGCTGCTGAGAGAATGAACTTGGAGAGGATTCTCAGGATCCCTTGAAGCTGTGAATTTTGCTTTTACTGGTCTGAAGTGTCAGCACCAGCTCTAGAACTGGTTTTCCAAGTATCCAAAGCTGGTTCTGTTAAACCCCCCTCTTTAGGGCTCTTAAGAAGGGAGCCAAGGGTGGGCAAGCTCAGATGGAAACAATCTCTGCACCTTTGGAGTGTGGGGTGGGTTATTTTGTTCTTTCCTTGAGCCTTGGGAGAACATTCCCAAAGGAATGCTCCTGCTGCTGAGCCACAGCAGGATGAGGAGTAATCCTTTCCCTCAAAATGAGCACCAAGGCTTTCTCAGAGCCACCCCAGCCTTCCTGCAAGGCAGGACTTGTCCACGGGTGCAGGGTCAGGAAAACAGAGCTTCCTTCAGCTTGGTTTGTTCCTGACAATAACCACTCTAGATTTGGCCAGGATGCAGAAACATTCTGCTTCCTTACAATTTGCTTTCCGTGAGCCTTTCCCCCCCTGGAGTGCTGGCTGCAGGGCTGGACTTCATGCTCCACAGCTTTGCTTCTGCAGTGATGCAGCACTAAAAGTAGGAAATCTTCCACTCCTTTCCTCCTCCATCCCTCCCTCTGGCACGACAGGAGCACGGCAGTGTCACTAATCACAGGCTGCTGTTATCTGGCTGTGCAGCCCTCCCGTGGAGCCGCGTTTTGGGCGGATTTTGCAGTTTTTCTTTCATTGACAGACCAACAAGCTAAAAGAGGGGGAGGGATTTTTTTGTGGTTTTAGGGCTTGGCTTTTCCAATGTCCTAAAGCACCTGCCTGTTCCTTTGCACAGTATAGCTCTGATATGGCCCAGTGAGTGGGAGAGGATCCAAAAGCTCTTTGTCGTGGATCACGTCATCAAAATCACCCGGAGCCAGACGGCCGAGGGCGCCCGCTACGCCTCCGAGCCCCGTGAGTGACCCTGGCAGGGGCTCCCAGGGCTGGAAACTTCTGTCCCAGGGGGGCACTGGGAAACACAGGGCTTGGCAGGGACCCCCCTGCAATGCTGTGAACAGTTCTGGAGTTTTAAGCACCGGAAGGATGTGGAGCCACTGGAGCAAGTCCAGAGGAACCCATGGAGGTGCTCCAAGGGCTGGAGCCTCTCTGCTCTGGAGCCAGGCTGGGAGAGCTTGGGGTGCTCAGTCTGGAGAAGAGAAGGCTCCAGGGAGAGCTCAGAGCCCCTTCCAGGGCATAAAGGGGCTCCAGGAGAGCTGCAGAGGGATGTGGGATGAGGGGCTGGAGGGAGAGGACCCAGGAAATGGCTTCCCACTGCCAGAGAGTGGGGTTGGATGGGGTATTGCAGAGAAATTCCTGGCTGGGAGGGTGGGCAGGCCCTGGCACAGGTGCCCAGAGCAGCTGTGGCTGCCCCTGGATCCCTGGCAGTGCCCAAGGCCTGGAGCAGTCTGGGCTGGTGGAAGGTGTCCCTGCCCCTGACAGGGGCTGGATGGGATCCTAAAGGTCTCTCCCAGCCCAGCCACTCTGGGATTTGCTGTGGTCACTCTCAGTTAGCACTGAGGGCTCTGAGCAGCTGCAGCAGTGAGATGTTGTCTGTTTTCTCCTCGGTGTTTGCCCAGAGCTGTGCCCCGAGTGCCGGGAGGGGCTCCTGTGCCAGCAGCAGCGGGACCTGCGCGAGTACACCCAGGCCACCATCTACATCCACAAAGTGGTGGACAACAAAAAGGTAGGGAGGGATTGTCCCCATCCCTGCTCAGCCAGGCTCCAGGAATGTCCCCAGGGGGCTGGCACAGCTCCCGTGTCCCCAGGGCTGCTGGGGATGCTGCTGCTCTGTGGTGGTGGTGAGGGCAGGAATCCTCAGCTCTGCAGCTCCAGGCAGCTTTGGCAAAACCAGCAAACTGGGACGTTGTGACTCTGAAAATTCCATCTCCTCGAGGCTGCCTTTTGCCAAACCAAATCCTTTGTGTTTTCAGGGATGCTCCCAGCTGTTTTCTCTGTCTTAGCTGTGTCCCCAGGCTGTACCTGCTCTCCTCCCCCTCCAATATTTGTCATTTCCTTTCTTCTTGCTCAAGTGACATTTTAATTCCTGGATAGAAATGAGCTCTTTCCCTTCAGTGCTGCTGAGAGAATGAACTTGGAGATGATTCTCAGGATCCCCTGAAGCTGTGAATTTTGCTTTTACTGATCTTAAGTGTCAGGACCAGCTCTAGAACTGGTTTTCCAAGTACCCAAAGCTGGTTCTGGTAAACCCCATTCCTTAGGGCTCTTAAGAAGGGAGCCAAGGGTGGGCAAGCTCAGATGAAAACAATCTTTTTTACCTTTTCCTTGGTTTCCCCCTGGCTGGCAATCCCAGGGAGGCGCTGGGGAAGCACAGGGAGCTGGAGGAGCTCCTGCCTTGGATGTGAGATGTGGATCACGCAGCACCGTCTGGAGCCCTCAGCCTTGGGCTTTCAGCCTCAATTCCCCAGCCTGAATCCTCTTGGCTCTGCTGCACGAGAGGGTTGGGTGTTGTATTTTTCTGGCACTGGCCAGGACTGTGCTCACACGTGGGGCTGGCAGAAAAACAGGCAGCTATTCTTTATGGAGCAGCTGGAGCTGGAGAGAGGGGGTGAGAACGTGCCCACGAGATCCCCCAGTAACAGGGCGGCCTCAGCAGGATGGGAAGCAGCAGGAATGCTGGCCAGCAGCACTGGGAGCCACTGTGCCCTTCCTGCTGGCTTTGCAAAATCAGGGAGTGTTTCCCAGCCCCTCACCCCTTTTCCTCCCTCCTCTGCACCACCTGGTTCTTCCTTGGGGTGAATGGTGCTGCAGAGGGAAGCCTCATCCAGATCAAAATCGTTGTAGGGTGGTACTGCTGGAATTCAGAGGGCTCTGGGGAATGTTTGGAACTGGAATTGCATCGTTAATTGCAAATACATTGATGGAGAAGAGAGCCCTTGGCATCCACATCTCCTGCAAAGCCCAGTTCCAGCTACAGCATAGCTGGGAATTTACATCCAGGCAAATCTGTGCCTGGAGTGACTTTCACTGACCTGAACAACCTTTTTATTGTTGTATTTGTGTAAATTATTTAGATTTCATTTACTTACAACCTCCAGCCCCATAAGTAATGGTGCTGTGTGTCCCTGCCAGGCTGCTGCAAATGTCTTAATTCACAGAAAATACTTTCTCCATGCTGAGGCTTTTGTAATACACTTGGATCAGGCAGCTGATGGGAAAGGGATCAGTCAGGGGCTCGGGAGAATTTGCTTTGCCTGGAAAGGAGGGCAGGAACCACCTGCAATTCCACAGAGGGGGATTCCTGAGCTGAACCCCCTGAGCTTCCACACAGCTGGGGAGGGTGGAGGAGCCTCTGCAGAGCTCATGGACAGATGCCAGGGTTGCTCTGGGCTCTCAGGGTGCAGGTGGCACCCAGAGGTGTGCAGGAGCTGTTTGCAGGGTGGGACAGGCCACGTGGGTGCTGTTGGTTGCTGTTGGAGAATGATTTTTGTGACTCCAGGTAATGAAGGACGCGGCTCCAGAGCTGAACGTGAGCAGCTCGGAAGCTGAAGAGGAAAGGGAGGAAAACAAGCCAGAGGGGGAGCAAGATCCTGATTTTAACCAGGTAGAGATGAAAAAATCCCATCAGGTTCCGTGATTTTTGCATCATCCTTCTGAGTCAGCGTGATGGGATCACCACCCTCCTCCTCTGCATCTCACTGGCAGCAGAAAAGTGTCTTAAAAAGTGTCTTAAATTGACATTTGAGTGGTCAAACCACACCAGTGCTGGGTTTGGAGAGATGAAATATGGATAGGGATTCATGTGCATGTGGAAATCTGCCCCATGCTGGCATTAGGAGTAGGAACTGAGGTTTGAAAGCAAATCCTTTGGTCATCTCACACTTGCATGCTTCAATTGGCTTTCAAGGGGTTTTTCCATCGCTTCTGCCTTCCCTTGCATGACCAATTGGCCCAAAACTCTCTCTGGGATCTGGGAAGGTTCTGTTTATCCCCCCAAACACCTCAATCTCCTCGTTTTTTGCCTCATCTCCAGGCCAATGGTGGCACGAAGCGCCAGAAGCTGTCCCACCAGAGCTACATCACCTACCAAAAGCAGGGAATCAGGAGGAGCACGCGGCACCGCAAGGTGCGGGGCGAGAAAGCGCTGCTGGTGTCAGCCAGCCAGACCCTGAAAGAGCTGAAAATCCAGGTGAGACCAACCCTCAGGGAGGCAGAAACACACAGTGAGGAGTGTGGGGGTGCAGGGAAGGGTCTGACTGCCCCAGGAGCTGGGCATGGCTCGGGTTTTGGGGTTTTGGGTGGTAATTGCTGCCCCCAGATGTGCAGGATGGCTCTGAAGAACGAGTCTGGTCTCTTCACTTTTCTGTCTTGAGGTTGTTTATTAATTCTTATCTATAAAGTTTTCTTTGTGCTCAGCAGGGCAGCCACAGGCACTCTTTGTGTTGTCCTTTTATTCTACAAACTACATATAACATATTTACACTGAATTCCCATTACCTATCATCTGTGTTAGACAGTGCGCTTCTACTCTAAACCAATCCCAAAGTGCCAACATCACTGCAGAAAATGGAGAACAAGAAGAAGAAAGGCTGGACACACCCAAGTTCCTCCATCTTAACCATAACCCCCATACCAAAAATCCTAAAATCTACATTTTCACCCTGCGATCATTTTGTTATTATAATATTTAAACTTCTGTGGCTTTCAGGTCCTCACACAAAGCTGGCAACTTGCTCCAGGGGTCACAATCAAATCCCCAGTGTTCATTGGCAGCTCTGGACACCCCGAGGGTTGTGCTGGGTTGTGCCAGGGGTGGGTGCTGGGCTGGGAGGTGCAGCAGCTGCAGGGTGAGGTGTCCCTGTGTCCCCAGATCATGCACGCCTTCTCCGTGGCCCCCTTCGACCAGAACCTGTCCCTGGATGGGAAGATGCTGAGTGATGACACGGCCACGCTGGGCAGCCTGGGCGTCATCCCCGAGTCTGTCATCCTGCTCAAGGTACCCCAGGGCTGTGCAAACGGGGACAGGGGAGCCAGCTCCTTGGAGGAGGAGCAGAATCCTTAATTTTTTTTGTCCTATGGGAGGAAAATCCCTTTTGTTTTGGAGAAGAAAACTCCTTATTTTGTTTCAGAGAAGGAATATCCTTTCAGAGCAGGAATATCCTTGTTTGAGGGTTTTTTGGTTTGGTTTTTTGTTCTGGAGGAGAAAATCCTTAATTTTTTTAGTTTTAGGGAAGGAAAATCCTTGATTTTTTTTTTTTTAACAATAAGGAAAATGCCTTTTGTTTTGGAGAAGAAAACTCCTTATTTTGTTTCAGAGGAGGAATATCCTTGGGTGTTTGAGAGGTTTTTGTTCTGGAGGAGGAAATCCTTCATTTTTTTAGTTTTAGGGAAGGAAAATCCTTATGTTTTTTTTTTTAACAATAAGGAAAATCCCTTTTGTTTTGGAGAAGAAAACTCCTTATTTTGTTTCAGAGGAGGAATATCCTTTGGTGTTTGGGGGTTTTTTTGTTTGGTTTTTTGTTCTGGAGGAGAAAATCCTTAATTTTTTTAGTTTTAGGGAAGGAAAATCCTTAATTTTTTTTTTAACAATAAGGAAAATCCCTATTGGTTTTTGTTTTGGAGAAGAAAACTCCTTATTTTGTTTCAGAGGAGGAATATCCTTGGGTGTTTGGGGTTTTTTTCGTTTGGTTTTTTGTTCTGGAGGAGAAAATCCTTAATTTTTTTCGTTTTAGGGAAGGAAAATCCTTAATTTTTTTTTTTAACAATAAGGAAAATCCCTATTGGTTTTTGTTTTGGAGAAGAAAATTCCTTATTTTGTTTCAGAGGAGGAACATCCTTGGGTGTTTGGGGGTTTTTTGGTTGGTTTTTTGTTCTGGAGGAGAAAATCCTTAATTTTTTTAGTTTTAGGGAAGGAAAATCCTTAATTTTTTTTTTTTAACAATAAGGAAAATCCCTTTTGTTTTGGAGAAGAAAACTCCTTATTTTG